GGGGTCGGGGGGGGCGAGAGGAGCCGCGGACAGGCTGGGGGAGCAGGGTCGGGATGGGGGACGGGAGCTCCCCGCTGCTCCCCCGGCTACGGGGGGCAGGGGCAAATGGGTGGGTGTGGAGGGCAGCTGGGGATGGGTAAGGGGTCTGATGGGGCCAGAGGGGTCTGGTGGGGCCAGAGGAGCTGGGGACAGGCCGAGGGAGCAGGGGTGGGATGGGGGACAGGCGCTCCCCGCTGCTCCCCCGGGTGCCTGGGTCGGGCAGGTACCCGGTGTTTTTAGGGCACAGACGGTCTGCGGTCTGGAGAAGGTAAGTTTCTGCGTGTCTGTCTCTGTCTCTCTCGTGCAGCCACGCCAAAGAAATCCTTCACTGCTTGAAGGAAAAGTACTTCAAGGAGCTGCAGGACCTGGAGGTGGATGGCCAGAAAGTGGAAATGCCGCAGTCGCTGAGCTGGTGAGTGAGCTGGAAGTGAAATAAGGCACCTGGCATGTTCCCAGCACCCAGCCTGACAAACTAGTTTCTTATTTTTTTGCCTCTACCCTTTTCCCATCTCTTTTCCCCCAGGTATCCAGAAGAGTTAGCCTGGCACACGAACCTGAGTAGAAAAATCTTGCGCAAGTCACCGCAACTGGAAAAGTTCCATCAGTTTCTGGTCAGCGAGACAGAATGTGTAAGTTTGTGATAGGTCTTGGGTTTTTATTTTTATTTCGTATCCTGAGCAGTGTTTTATTTAAATGCATCATGGGAAACTGAACCGAAGCCTTTCTCTCAGAAGCTGAGTGGCTCAGAAGAAACTGGATTTTATGTTGCAGTTGACAGTGATTCATCCCGTGACTCTGGCACGTAATTGCAGTTACAGACATTTTTCCTGAACTAATTGCAATTTTGTTTTTGTTTGACAATGTGAGAATAAGTCCCTGTAAAATAATCAATTGCTGTTAGAAAACAGATGTTTGAGTCTGGTGAAGAGTGCATGTATGTGCGTGCCAAGACTGGTTGCAGTGAGGCTCTCATCTCTTGAGCAGAAACTACATCTCTAGAAGGAATAAAATGGAAGTAAATACGGAATTACCAGAAATTCAGTTGGGTGAAATATTGTGATTTGGTTTGTTAAATGCTAAGAAAACGCAATCCTAAGCTTATAATAATGTCATTTTGATTGCTTTATTGTTTTGCTACAGAGGGGAGTTAATTGCAAAATAAATACATTATTCTGGAATTGAATGAAAATAAGTTTGTTTTGGTTTTGCTTTTTCCTTTCAAGGGAAACATCAGTCGCCAGGAGGCTGTTAGCATGATCCCACCTCTGCTGCTTAATGTTAATCCTCATCATAAGGTAACTAAAATATACTGTGTACTAGAGTATTTCCTGGAAGATAGTTTGATTAAACTACAAATTTCAACAGCAGTGTCAAGTCTGATGCGCAATTCCATTTTGTGTTGATATGTTTTTTGCTTCCTGCATGTAAACCACAGCAGTCATCTGGTGTTCAGATCACAAATAGAGCCTCAGGGGAACATCTGCTTTTTCAGTTTTTTGTAATACTGTGTAAAAAACCCAGTTTTTAAGTATTTAAATAATCTTCCTTTCAAAAAGTCAATATACACAGCTTCATCTAAGTTATTTATATTTCAACCCCCTTCTAAAGCAAGATGACAATTTTTAACTTTCTCCTGTCCATCACACCATGAACAGATACAGTTTTTCCAGATCCAAGTGATCATGTTCTCTGCCAGGTAGTTTTCACCCCCCTGCCTTTTGAACAAGTTGCAAACTTCTGCTTAATAAAGATATTAGGCAGAATATTTTAGGTGACCTGAAAGGTGCTGTTGATGCTAGTTAAAGAGTATAGATTTCTAACTGCAAATGAGATGTGTAAGGAACGCCCATGGTAGTTTCCCATTGCAGGTTGTACAAATGGAGATTCCTGGTTGCCAACTTTCTGCTATAACCTTAGTCATGTTTCCATACACTACCTTTGTGTGCAGAATGAACCGGCCAAGTGGCCTTATTCTCTTAATACTGTAGGTTAATGAGAAAGTTAGAAATGCCTTGCTATCTCGGGCAACCATGTTATACACTTCTTTCTTAAATTTTTCATTACATATATTAAAATTTTGAGTTTTTCAAACTTCTGACCTGTGTGTTTTAGAGACTTCTTTGTCCATACTTGGTTTTATATTGATATTACTTAGCATACAGAGCTTTACAATTTATTTCCTCCTACACATGGCTGATAGCTGTGTTACGTGAGGCAAGGTCTTCTCACCTCTCTTAAATGGATAATTAATGGAGTGATTCAGTCCTAATGTGACAACTCCAGTTTTGTCTGGAGTTGAACAGGTAGTGAATGTGTTTGAATTAATGTAAACCACGAATTGTGATAGTGTTTTTGCACACAACATTGCTTATATTGCAAATACTAAGATAGTAGCATACGTTTTTTGCTTTGAATGTTTAACTTCAGTGACTATATTTCAACAAGCACTTACCAGAAATGCCTGGAAGACTTCAGAAATTTCCTCATAAATCATGCTCAGAAAAGGTTCTTGTATCCTTTCTTGTGACAAGACAGCAAGTAGCAGCCGTAATGAAGCCTGAGCTTTACGACCTTTTATGATTCTTAGTGCCTTATTTTCTGAGCTGCTTGTTATGACCAGAATTGCAGGTTACTTTTCATGCTTAACCAGCATATTCTGTACGTCATGTCTTACATGCTGATTCCTGTCTTATGCAAGGATCAGCTTGACGACTGT